GATAGTTTTCCTAGCTTTAAGGTGTTGCAAGTCTCAATTTTAACTCAAGTTATGTTTACCGGGCGTTGGTTCGAGTTTTGTGTCATTTGGAGTCAAAATCAGGATTTTAGACACCAACACCGGCGCTTGAGAAGCAATCGGGACGAGTTGAGAAACATTAGAGATTGATTTGAGAGCTTTGGAGTTCACTGGGAGGTTTACGATGAAGAGTTGAAGATAAAAGAGCTCTAGGATTGGCTACGGGATCAAAAGAAGACAAATAGAGCTTGAAAATGACGATCAGGATGACCTTCTGTTAATCATTCAAGCATATCTCCTTGTAGAGACATCCAATGTACACGTTTCAAGTTCCATATGAAAGCCAACTTCAAAGGCTACAAATCATGCGAAGACACCTTTCCGAGAATCTGACAGGAAGAATGTGAAAACAGACGACGAAGTCAGATGATCCCTGTTGCGATTTCAGAATGCGACAGTCCACCATTGTATTCATATCTGTTTATTGGATGATTCAAATCCAATTCGGAAAATTGAGGTGGATAGATGACTTCATTATCTACAACTTTCAAGAAGGAAGTAAAGTCAAACTCGGACGTTTTACCCAAGCCGTGCGTGCCCCGTTTTTGTTTCCTAATTTAAGTGCGAATTTCCTTGTTTCCTAATTCAACCCGAATTGCTTTGTTTCCTATAAATAACACCTCTCTAACCCTAATTAAAGGGGGAGCTTAGAGAGAGCCCTAGAGACGAAATTTCTTCTACTTTTCCATCTTGTTCTTCAATTCCCTTGGATTATTTGTAAGTTCCATCTTTTTAATTAATGACAATTAATTCTATTCTTCGCAATTCTATTGATTCTTCAATTATGAGTTGTGAGTAGTTTTAATTAGGGATTTGGGGTTGATGAAGGGGTTAATCATGATGTATGGTTAGGTTCTTGATGGTGTAAATTGCATGAATGCCATTTAATTTGTGTTTGAATAATTTAATTGATATCTTTTGTAACCTAGAATGGCCACTAGAATTACAATCGCTTATAGAATAAATTAAGAGAGATCTAATTTGTTCTAGGACACATTCACACACACTTAATCGTTCGCTAAGAGATTAGTAGCGATTAAGGGGCCGTAAGCTCGTTCGTCTTGGCAATAATTTAGGATCCTGTCGCATGAGAGATCAGCCTGGTCCCCTAAATTATTGTACTCTACGCCGCGAGAGCGGTAAGACCTTAGTATTGATTAGCTAGGCTCAATTAAATTAAATTCATGTAATTAAGCCTGATCTGCCAGAAATCTGATTACCCCGGAATCAATCCCTGTTCCTTTCGTTGTTAATTAAGAAGAACCCAATCATTTACTTTTAATCGTTTATTTGCAATTTTAGTTTTCTCAAGCAACCAAATCTCGCACGACCGCATTTATTTTATTTATTCTTTATCGCTGATTTTTAGTTAATTCTTAATTCCCTTTTACCGTCCCTGTGGAGACGATACTCGTACTTTCACTGCTATATTACAATCTTTTTAAGTGCGAGAAAACTCACATCAGTGGGTTAATTGACTTCTCTGTAGATCCATTTTCTCGAATGATTGTAAATACAATACATTCACACTGCTCCCGGTATCGATTAGTACCCGGCGTATCAAAGCATTGTCAATGCACATGCTCACCACCAATTCATCCTTGTGCGGGCTTGGCGAGTTGGGTAAATCAGCTGGCCCGAATGTGATCGGGTCCGTCCTTCCTTTCTTCTGGGGGAGTGGAGATGGATCCTACATAAAGACTTCGCTCGAACCCTTTCCGTTCGGCGTTCGAATCCCCTGTTTCCCCGCCCCAAAATATAACCTTGACCTCCATTCGAGGTTTCTTTCTGGGGCCTCCCGAGCCCTCTGGTTCATCCCTGGGGGGAATATATACGTCATTCTGGGGCTGGGCATCACGTTGGGCATCCCGTCACCAGCTATTGGGTTTCCTGATCGGTTTTAAAGTGTCTACCGCACTTAGATCCTTACTCACATATTTGCCCAGATGACCCCGCCGGATCAAGTCCTCAATAGCCGTTTGTAGTGCCCTACAGGCGTTGGTGGCATGACCTTTCCTGTTATGATATTAACAAAAAGCAGACTCGTCTGCTCCCATATACTGTGAAGAATCAGTCGGAAGGGGAATGTTGTCCTTCTCGTTCTGATAAATGGTTGCCACGGACAGGACCAGGGGAGTAAATTGCCCTTGCTTAGGAGGGAGAGCGGCCACTGGGCTAGGACCCAGCCGATCGGCCATCTTGATTGGGGCAGTAGGCGCAACGACCTTGTCCCTGATCATTATCTCTTCTTCCAGGGCAGCATGCTTGCGAGCTCTGTCTAACACCTCGGCATATGCTGTACCTGGATTCTTCTTCAAATCCTTATATAACTCTCTCATTCGGAGAGCGTTTGTGAATAGGGTGATGGCGGTATCATCCGTCATGTTTCCAACTGTCAGAGTTTCGTCCCTCCATCTTTTTAAGAATTGATTGAGGGTTTCTTTGGAGTTCTGCTTCACGCTGGTCAGGTAGCTGAAATGCCGTTTTGGGTTGGCACTGGAAGCAAATTGGGCCAAGAATAACGTCGATAATTCGGCGAAACTGTTGATCGACCCGGGTTTCAGGGTCCCGAACCACTCCTTGGCGGGCCCTTTGAGCGTACTGAAAAACAACCGGCATATAGCAGCCTCAGGTGCTCCTAGTAGCATTAGTCCTCTTTGATAACTCCTTAAATGCACATGGGGATCTCCCACCCCGTCATAAATTTGACCGGCCGGTGGTTTCGCACCTCCTTGGATGTCCGCATACATAATTTCCCTGGTGAAAGGGGAAGTAATCCCGAGCTGAATTGGGACAGGCTGTACGGGCGCCCTATTCATCTGATCTCTCATCTCGTTCATCTGCCTCCTCATTTCAGCCATTTCTTCCTCCTGGGCCGTCAAATGGGGCGGTGGTGGAGCCCTCAAATCTGTATACTCCCGATCCCAATGCCTTTGAGCAGCCCTAGTATTATTCCGTTCGTCATGCTGGAAATGACGACCAATAGGAGTAGGTCCCCTGGCTTGTGACCCGATCGGGGTCCGGTCAGTGGGAGTATGATGCGCTGTTGGTGGAGCGTCACGGCGGTTATCCCGATGGGCCTGCGAGCGGGATGACGCTGTCGTCGTTTCTGTGTATGGAGTTTCCCCTGTAAAATTGGATCCTCCTTCTTCCTCGTTTGCCATGTGTTGCATGACCTGGGCCATATCTCGCATGGCCTGAGGATTCCTCCTCAGAGCTTCAGGAATTACAAAGTCCCCGTCAAAATGAGGATATGATTCTCGGCTGGATTGTCCGTGAGGGGCTTGATTTCCTGGGGTGTGACTCCTTCCGTGACGGCGTGAACCATCGTTTGTGTGATAAGAACTGATTCTGACCATTTTAAAAAATAGTTGTTTTGGGATAATTGAATGTGAAACTTTTTGAATAGTTTCCCACAGACGGCGCCAATGTTGAAGGTAAGTCCCGTAGATCCGAAAGCCCAACACGAACTTTGGATATATCAGGAATGGACCAGAATCGAAGTGTATAATAAAATATAAAATATGAATTCACTAATACCCAAAAGCCCACTTGTATTAATTAACCTGTCTGATTACAAGGAAACTTCCCGATCGGTAGGTCGGAACAGTGCTTTAATACAGGAAACAAGAGTAATAATGCTATTCTAGAGCTTGAGTATTGAAATGTTAACCCTTACAATGATTTTAAACCTTTTATTTATACTAATGGAGAGCATGGGCTGCTCTATGCTGATTGGCCGTTGTTCCACCGACTTGATCACCCATGTTTCCAGTTGCTGATGTCACAATCTGGCATTATTTGCATCTGGCCACTTGCTGGTTGCACGTTGCTCGAACGGGATGCTGGAGCTTGCAAATGACGATGTCAAATTGGCCCAACTATGATATATGGTCCGAACTCCGTTCGGTATCTCTTCTTTTTGGGCCGGCCTTTACTCGGACCGAACCCCGTTCGGTATGGATTCTTCACTGGGCCTGCTCCTCACAGAGTAATGGACCCGTTATTTGGGCCGGGTATCCTGGGCCTTTTTGATCCGGGTATTGGGCCTCTGGATCAATATCCCAACACTATGTTTTACTCCACTTTTGATAATTATATATATCTCTAGAATAATCTCGATTTTTTTATAGAAAACGTTCGTATTTACTATAAATTTATTTTATTGATCTGTTTTTTGAAAGGAAATTAAGTTCTTACATACTAGCATATATAGTACCCGTGCATATGCATGGGAAAAATAGTTGGTCCATATATATTTTTATTCATGATCTAATTAAATAAGAAAATTGTTTTACATCTTCTCTCTTTCCTTTTTTAATAGTAACATTCATATATTCTCATTTCTAAATCGATCTTCTCATTATATCCCAATAATTTGGAAAATAATACTAGTATACTATAAAAACTACTTTTTGAATTTATCTTTCGTTTTTGCACACTATTTCATTCTCTTCCTATCATATCCTTAATAATTTATATTCTTTTTCATTATTCTTGATCTCACTTACTTTTAAATGGGCAGATATATATGTTGCGGAGGTATTATTGGTTAGCATAAGTTTGATATAATACTTTGTTGTCTTCTTGATCACACTATTTGATTTTATTTTCTTAATTAAACTATCAAAATTTTATCATATTCTAATTTGAATTTTGAAATTCATAAAACTTTTGAATTTTCTTAATTAATTTGAATTTTGAATACATAAATGTTTATTTATTAAAATTGGTAATTAAACTACGAGGGTGTTTGACAACACTGTTTTTCGGCTAATCAGGCTTATCGGGCTTATCAGCCAACTTTTTCACCAAACACGTAACTTTTGATTTCGCGGGCTGAATTGTGTAATAAGCAGAAAAAGTAAGGTTGAAGTTACTTTTCTGGCTGTATTGGCTGAAGTTACTGTAGATGACAATTTTAGCTATTTTTACATATAATTTTTTCTTTATTTTATTAATAAAATATACGTAGTATTTTAAAATTATTTTTTATTTAAATCAACAGAATCAGCCAATGTAGACACTTCCGTCAGCACTTCATAAATTTCACCAGAATCAATCAAATCAACCGATTTTCGTGCTACCAAACGGGCTCCGCTAGCTCAGCTCAGCTAGCTCGTAAATACTAAAGCAGCTCCCAGCATCCCCTATTCCCATGCATGCATGGTGAATAATTTTCTCATAAATAAAAGCAAAGGAAATAATAAATGAGATTGCCATCAATTGATAATGACATATATGAGCTCGTAAATACTCCCCTAAAGCAGCTCCGGCCCATCCCAGATACCCATGCATGCATGCGGCATAATTGCTTATCGTATACATCTTCGTGATGTGTATAAATTAAAACCCCGACCTTTCACGCAGATCCTGAAGATTTATACAATCGTATCAAAAATCATACGGTGAGTCCAAGTGATATGAAGATATTAAAAGGTAAGTTTTTATTTTCAATTTAAGGGAAGGAGACTACCACATAAAAAGTGGAATTTTTTCAATATGATGTTGAAGGTATTTAAAGAGGCAAGGATTGAGGTTGGGAAGGAGACTACCACATAAAAATTTGAGGGTTAGGATTTTTTTCTTCTAATCTTAAGGCTGAAAATAGGGAATGAGATAATACAATTTGCACCCTCGTGATGAATTCCTGTAGCCATGCACAATTCTTGTGTACTCCCTCCGTTCCTAAAAATTCTTCCCGGTTTGACTTGGCACACTTATTAAGAAAGTGGAATAAAATGGAAATGTATTGTTGTGGTTGTGTAAGAAAAAAGTAAAATGAATGTGAGCCACACAAATTGTCCAAAAGGGGAAAGTGGGAAGTATTTTTGAGAACAGCCCAAAAAGGAAAATGGGAAGAATTTTTGGGAACGGAGGGAGTATAAAATAATTGAATCACCTATTCGGATTTGAGGAATCAGAAAGTGTAAAGGTCCTCATACAACCCTAAGAAACTCGGATTCAAAGCCCACGTTTCCCGTAATTTAATACCCAAATTCTGACTCCCACATTTTGTGAGTGACATCTCAAAAGTCCTGTATATTTGTCATTCTCTCTAAAGGCACTGCCTACACGAAGGGCCACGAATGGGTATTTGGTCACTTCCCAATTTGGTCAGACCTTCGGCTTGGACGGTTATCTGAAGAAGTCCATGTTTCCTGAAAATAAAACTTCAAAGGTATTCCCTCTTTTTGTTATCTATTAATACGTTGTATATTCCATTTTTATGACGGCATGTTTTTACTTTTTGACTGTTTTTGAAGTATAATTATCAGGTCAACCATTCCACAAAATTGAGACATACGAAGTATATATATACAACAATACCATAGTTATTATTTATTGAGAGAAAGTAAACTTGCTGTCAAAAAAAAAGAGAAAGCAAACTTATATGTCCCTATAACTGAAGCTTCGTTTTTTAGAACTCGATCTATTTAAGAAACATTTCGAATCTTAAAACATCCTATAATTTAAACTTCGTTTTTTAAACTTTGTATACGCAATATTGATATGATATGAAAGACTTTTTTTAAGCAATCATACGAAAGATTATTAAACGTTATGTGGTATGAATTTTGATATACTTTTTGTAAAAATTGGAATACATATAGCTAAGAAACAACACAATAAAAAATGAAATTCTAGTTTTTCGCTCACCCTGCTGCACCAAGGTGCTCCCAAGCCCCCTTAACCAAATGCATTAGGATTCTAGTACGTAGTAACTTTTCTCTAAACCCCATTTCATTCGAAACAAGGGTTTACAAATGTCTGAATAAGGCTTTTCTAAAATGCGTTTGAAAATTTGCTCAATAATAATAGTGCTTGACACGAATACAAATCCATAAAAATTAGGAAAAACGATAAGAATAATTCCAACTATTACTCACCTCCTCTAAATAATCTAATCTAATGTATCAATTATCTCAAAGTAATCCCAATTATGAAATAAAATTCTCAAAATGCTCTAGTAACTTACATTAACCCGTAAATATTATAAGTCATTTATGGGTTATTACAAGTGATGAGTGGATCATTTCAAGAATTTTACTAAATAGTTGAGATTATTTTGAGATAATCGGTATTTTCTATTATTTAAAGCAGGTCACTAATAGTTGAGATTCTTGTCCATTTTTACTAAAAATTAATACTAATAGTATAATCATATAATAGAAGAGGCACTCGTCAAGTGGTTCTTTGATGAAGGAAAGGTCCATTTGATTGATCCAAGGGACGAGCCATTCTGGTGGATATATTATATTTCGTTCTGTATTTGTTTTTTCGAACGATTTCTCTCGGTATTTGTGAAATAGCTCGAACGTGCCCAATAGCTAGAATCTGTCGGTATATATTTGGATATTTCTCTATAACTATTGTTTCAATGATTTCGCAACACGATGGTAAATACTAGTATTAAAGTTCATAGAATATGTTTGGTAAAGAGTTTTTTCCCGAACAGAGGTACTTTTCAAACTTATTTCTCGAATATGGGTACTTTTCAATTTATTCCCCAAATGAAGGTACTGTTCGCAATGTCATCATTCCAGCAATTCCACATCATACTAGCTATTCCATGTCATCCCAAGTATTACACGTCATCCAATTTAAGTGTTCAAGGATACTTTTATTGAAAAATTAAAAATCGGAACATCACAAGGAATTGAACCTTCGACTAGCGGCTAATTAAGCATGCCTTTTAATTTGTAGCGATTAACATTAAACTAGTACCTTGGGATGGCATCCATTCTCTTTTTAACATATTTGAATACCGCTTTTAAAGTTCAGGATTGAGCTTCTTCCAAAAAAAGTTCAGGACTGATCTAAGCTCGGCACCAATTTTTTTCCTAATTTTAATTAATAAAGATTTTTTTCTTTAAAAAAAATAAAGATTTTTTTCTTAGATAAACTTCATACAATTGTTTTCATATTAACAAAATTCTATATTTATTAGGGTGCTAGAGCCTTTCATGTCATTTAGTTATTATAAATTTTAATTAGGTTTTTATTCTTTAATTGAGTATCTCAAATTTACAATTTATTTTATTATATAATTACTTTAGAAAGAAGCATATATCTCTAAATGAACGAGTAATACACAGGAAGGTAAATATTTATGTTCTGGGATTTAAATCTTAGTATTTCAAATTTAACTAAAACATAACATGTAACAATTTAACTCAAATTCGAGCATTTTAATGAATATAATCAATAAAATAGAGGTCGATTATTCAAATTTGTTAAAACGAGACTGTACACCACTTGACGCCTCTGGTGTAGTGGTCATCTCTACAAATGAAAAGGCATGCCTTGCTGCTGTCGAAGGTTCAAAATCTTTCGAATTCCAATTTTCAATTTTTTTTCTTTCAAAAAAGTATCCTTAATTACTTCAATTGGATGAGGTGGAATACTTGGGATGACATGAAATAGTTAACATGATGTGGAATTGCTGGGATGATGACATAGCGAAAAGACGCTCATTTGGGAAATAAGTTTAAAAGTACCCCTATTCGGGAAATAAGTTTGAAAAGTACCCATGTTCGGGAAAAAACTCGTTTGCTAACTCTTTCTTCCAAGTTGTAGATGCTGGATTTTGTTGTTTCTTGAAATTGGACCATACTTTGTTGCATCGTTGTCATATTCATGGCAATTGATCGAATTATGTCTTCGGTGGACATGTTCAAGTTCGAAGTTTGGCCTTGTTGTTTATATTGTTGAGGGGGAAGATTTGATGGTTGAGGAGGTTGAGAGTTTCCGTACCTTAAATTAGGATGATCCCTCCATCCCGGATTATAGGTGTTGCTGTGAGGGTTATACCTCTTTTGATTTTGAAACCCCAAAGCATTGACTTGTTCGGAGTTCTCCTCTTGTAGCATTGGGCAAGAGTTGGTGGGGTGCCCTTGTGTCTAGCATATGCCGCAGACCTTGAATTCTTGAGTTTTTGGATTTAAGAGAAAATCTTTAACCAAAGAAGTCAAGCCGGCTACTTGACTTTCCAACGAGTTATTGGATTCCGCCGCCATAACTCGTTTTGATGACCGCCAATCATAGTGTCTACAATTCTCGGCCAACTCCGAGATAAGGTTTCTAGCTTGAGAAGGAGTCTTGTTGACAATCCCCCCTCCACACGCGACGTTGATCATCCACCTATCTTCATTGCAAGCACTATCATAGAAGTATAAGATGAGGTCTTGCTCCGAATAGCCGTGGTATGGACAGCTTGCACAAAGTTTCTTGAATCGTTCCCAATATTCGTAGAACGATTCATCATCCTTTTGCTCCACATTGCTAATCTGCTTTTTTAGAGATGAGGACACAGAGGCAAGGTAATACCTTTCGAGGAAAGCTTTCTTCATGGCCGCCCATGTACCTATACTTCCCGAAGGAAGATAGAATAGCCAATCCTTTGTGGTATCCTTTAAAGAAAATGGAAAAGCCCACAATTTGATTTGTTCTTCCGTCACACCGTTTGGACACATGCTTGTGCAAACGACGTGAAACTCCGAGAGGTGTTTGTTCGGATCCTCTCCTCTCAGGCCATGGAAGGATGGCAGCAGATGAATGAGCCCAGATTTTAGCTCAAACGTATTACCCTCATCAAGTGTAGGGAAGGTAATACACAGTGGTTGTTGATTCAAGTTCGGAGCTGTGAGCTCCCTCAGTGTTCTCGTTTCAAGAGCCATGTGAAAGGACTCTTCGGATTCGCTAGAACTAGAGCTAGCGGTGTATGAATCTCTGGTAGATGATTCTTCCGAGTCGGTATTAGAAAATTTACTTTTCAACCGCTCGAAAGTTTGTTCTATTTCGGGGTTGGTGTGATAGGTGATTTTGTTCAGTGAGCGATATTTAACCATATACTTCAAAGCTCAGAAATAGAAAAATAAGAACTCTTTATATTTCAATGGAAGCTCTTTAGAGGCATTTTACCTATTTCAGACAATCTTAGAAGATTTCAGATGGTGCTTCAACCCTCAATGTGCCCTATTTGTAGAAGAAATAATGATACTACCGATCATATTTTCTATGGTTGCTCATTCTCTAATAATATTTGGAATTACTTTGCTAGGATCTTAAATATTCCTATCCCCACTAATCTTCTTTCAGTCAGAAATATATTTTTTGTTTGGTGGCTTGAAGCAGGAAGCAAAACCCTCACTGATGTTTTCAGACATAATCTTCCGGGCATTATCAGCTGGCATATTTGGAAGGTTTACACTGACCTAATCTGGGGTTCTCTTCTTTCTATCCCTACGGTTGAAAATATTATCTGGAGAATCAAACTTTATACTCAAACCTGGGTTCAGAGTTTCAATTCTTCTAAATTTTGTTCCATCGATAAGATTCTTTATGAGGAAAATCTCATCCCCAGTAACTTTAAATCTAATATGGTTCTTCAACCTATTCGATGGATTAAGCTTAAGAGAGGTCTTAAACTCAACGTTGATGCGGCGTATTTACCTGGAAAAGCTTCCGGTGACGCAATCTTGAGAAATGAACTTGGAGTTTTCATCGGAGCTATCTCGTTTCCCATGGTAACTTGCTCCAATCTTCACGTAGAACTGCTTGCACTCCTAAGGGCAACAACATGGGCTATTAATGAAGGATTTGGGAGCTTTCAGGTTGAATGTGATGCTAAGGAGATTGTGGATTACGTTTCAGGTAGGAAGAGGGATCGGTGGATGGAGGAGATTGATGGCTTCAGGCGGTTATGTTTTAGGAAAGGCATCCGATTCCGACATATCTTGCGAGAGGTTAACGAGCTGGCCCATTTGCTTGCTCGACTCTCTTCAGCCCATTTTAGGCATTGGTCTGATCTGAATTTGTTACCTGGGCCCGTTAAGAGTGCTGCTACTTTAGATCTGTTTGGTTTACCTTCTTTTAGATTTATGACTTAAATTGTATTTTTTGGTGAAAGAGGTATTGGTATAGTCCCCCTCTTTTTGTTATCTTTCTTCTTCTTTAATAAAACCCGACAAATGTCCCCCGGCATTTGTCCCACTAATTTTGGTGGTTTGCCTTCCGGGGGTTAAAAAAAAAGAACTCTTTATATTTTTATTTAATATTTTTTTTTGATTTTTCTTGAAATGAAATAAAAGAAAAATTATTGCTTTTCCCCGGCAACGGCGCCAAATTTGACGTGCACTTGTCGTGAGGTGCACTCAAAATAAATACAATACAACGATTATACGTAGTATAACGAAGTAAGGTTCGTATCCACAGGGAAATGAATACTTTTCTTTTATATAATGAGTAACAAAAGGGAGAGTTTTGAGTTTGATTTAATTTAATTTAATTAACACTAAGATGAACGACGTATGTGGTTCAATTAATAGAGATGAGGACTTGGTTTTGCTTTTATCCACTTAATGAAATGTTCGTCGATCCCGATTATATCTTTGACTATCTTCCTCTCGAATACTCAATCGAGGAGTATATCCATTTCATCGAGGGTAGTTATTAATAACGAGATGCATTCATTAATAAAACTTACTATCGAGTCAATATAGAACAAGCGCCGTATATTAACATGATAGTAGCAATAAACTTAAGATGAAAACGATTGAGATTGATAACCTCAACACAGGCGGTTTATTGGTTTAATCAATAAAATTAATTCCCCTTGTCATATTAACCATGAGATGCATGCATTAATAATCCAAGTTTACTATTGTTGAAAGAACCGGATTAATAACAAGCGTATTAACCGATTAATTCTAGTAATAATTATTATAAGAAACAAAACTAGTTGATACTTTAAGTAATGTTCAAAATATTAACATGAAATATGAATAGGAATTAATTAATACTCAAGGAGGAATATTAAAGAATATGAATCCTACTATAGTTAATATCAAGATGTTCACTAATTGTCATCTTAGTAACACTCCCCAATATTAACATAGAGGAAGAAATAACTATTACTATAACCAATGTCAAGATGTTAACTAATTGTCATCTTAGTAACACTCCCCAACTTTGATATAGAAATAGTATTTTAAAGGAAGAATTAATACTCAAGGAAGAAGATTAAAGAAAATAACTCACAACTTACAAAATCATTAAGTTTCAAAGTAGCAAAACCAAGATGGAAGAATTTAGCTCCTCATTTGGAGACTAAACATGATGAAAAATATAAAGAACTATTCTAGACTGAGCTTAGATGTATAAAGGAATTGGATATCTAATTGTGAAGGAAAGGAGGTGTATTTATAGGCTTTTGAGATGCAGCTCGGGTACCCGATCGGGTATATACAAGGTACCCGATTGGGTATGTGTAATACCTCAAATTCGAGGTATACTCGATCGATCATTGCCTAAATTTCATAAGCATACCCGATCGTGGCCCGAATCTTCTCTGCATGATCCTTTGTCTTCGGATCTGATCTGATTTGAAACTTCAACAAGATACCCGATCGAGTATAGGTCATACTCATCTCGGCATAGACCAAAAAAATCAGCATCTTCTTTCTTTTGATTTTTTGCACCTTCCTTCCACTTTTGGGGTTCACCAACTGTCCTTTGAGTTGATCAAGACCTGTTTGAGCTCATAATAAACCTAATCTAAACAATTTACAAGAATTTAACAAACTAAACTATTACACCAAAAGTGTGTAATTGCCAAAGTAAAAATCAATCAAAACTAATTAAAAACACAAACATACAAATGGAATTTACAAGCGTATCAATTACATTACCTAATAGTGAATATGTTTTGTTTTTAATATTTAAGGCCATAAAAAATGTTTCCTAAACAATTTTTTTTGGCAAAACTTTTTTTTGGGAAAAAAATGTTTGCCAAAAAAATCATTTTTATGCAAAGAAATGTTTTTTTTTGTTTCAATAGCATATGTTTATTTTGTGATGTAACTCGTATTATGAAAAATGTAACTCGTGTTGATAGAAAGTCTAACTTAAGTGTATGCAAAATGTAACTTGTTGAGTCAAGACTAAATGTTATTCACGCGCGTTGGAAGATGTAACTCATTCATAAAAAGATGTAACTCATGTACAAGAAGATGTAACTTCATAGACTATCAAATGTAACTCCAAATATTGTCAATAAACATCACTCACACATGTAGAAACATAAATCACACACATGAAAATGTAATCTCATATTTTATCAATTGTAAATCAAAATAACCAAATTTAATGTCTAAAAAACACTAGAAACATATAAGAGAGATAATAAATACTCCGTATATTATAGGAAAAAGTATGAATATGAAAAAATATATTACAAATAAGTGTATAAATATAGAAAATAATTATTTTGAATAAAAAATAATTAATTATAGGTTGTAATTTTAGTTGAATAAAAAAAGGAAAAGTTTAGCAATAAGGAGTAAGAGAGAAAGAAAAAGTAATTAATTTATTCAAAAGGATAAAAATTTGAACAAATAATTGTAATACTTTCTGGTGTTCTTAAATTAAATAAAAAATTGTTGGAAACATGATAACTTTTAAAGTTTTGATGATGAAAAAATTAAAAGTAAAAAAACAAAAAAGAAAAAACATAATCGTAATTTTTTTGTGACTGGAGTTAATTATCACGTGAAATTTCACCGCATGCAAAACCAGAATATGAAAAAGATGAGTGCGTACACCGTATACCGGGACGGATTTATATTTTTTTTTTCCTTTTGTTTTTAAAAAATGGTAATAATTTTTTTATTTTTGATCCGATTTTTATAAAATTTATATCAACATTTTTTATTTTTCATGATCTTTCAAATGAGACTAATATTGCCTATGTAATTTTAACATATTAACATTTGTGTGTGAAATATGTAACTTTAAGTGTTAAAATATGTAACTCACGTTCAGTCAAGTCAAATGCAACTCGTGTGTATAAATATGTATCTCTACGTGTAACAATATGTAACTTTACGTAAAAAAATATGTAACTCGCATTCAGACAGGTCACATGCATCTCGTGTGTATAAATATGTAACTCGCGTGTATAAATATGTAACTTTACGTGTAAAAATATGTAACTTTACGTGTAAATATATGTAAGTCGCGTTCAGACATGTCAAATGCAACTCGTGTGTGTATATATATATATATATATATATATATATATATATATATATATATATATATATATATATATATATATATATATATGTAACTCGCTTATAAAAAGATGTAACTTGCTTATAAAAAGATGTAACTCGCTTATAAAAAGATGTAACTTGCTTATAAAAAGATGTAACTCGCTCATAAAAAGATGTAACTCAATGTATTATGAAATGTAACTGAGGCCACTGATCCACTCCCAAACAGATTCGATCTTCTATTTCACAAACCTATCATCTCCCAAACAGATTTGATTTTTCTTATAATCCAATACTCATTAATATAATAGTTCGATAATTTCTTAAAATTACATACACAATATTGGTCTCATTTGAAAGATCATGAAAAATAAAAAATGTTGATATAAAGTTTATAAAAATCGGATCAAAAATAAAAAAGTTATTATCATTTTTAACATCAAAAGCAAAAAAAAAAACAGATGCTGCGTCATTTTTGCAACCGGGCGCACCATCCTCATGGTGCGCCGGTTGCACCATATAATTTGCGGAAAAAGATTGATATATTTGGACAAAAGAAAAGGGGTTGAATACAACCTTAAATATACGTAGGGTTATAGCCTTATAGGGAAGAGGTTAAACCAAACAAAATAATCTTTTTATTTTAATATAATATTTTCCACATGGCAACTGTGATGAGCCGCAAGATTAAATGCATTGGAGACCTATTTTAACTAAGGCTGGCATTTTGAACCAAAAAACCGAAACCGAACCAAAAATAACTGAACAGCATTGAAAAAAACCTGAACCGGACCGAACCGATAAATTTTGGAACCCGAAAATCGAGACCCGAAAAAAATTGGTTTGGAATCGATTTATAATCTCAAAAAACGGTGTGGACCGAACCGAACCGATTTTATTAATAATAATAATTTGTATTATTTGCACTGATCATAGTTAATTACGTTTCGAAAAAATACATTTACGTTCGGAGAGAACAAAACACATACTGAATGCGCTAGTTCGTTGGTAGCGTAGGGCATCAGCTCTCCGTCAAATTCGATCCCATCTGATGATTTTTTGTTCAACATTTATGTTTTCAGCTCTTCTCTCGGATACTTCGTCCCACACCGGAAACAAAAGGACTTTACTCCTCCAAAATGGGTCCTAATGGCCTCAATATTCTAATATTCACATTTTGGGCTTAATTTTCATTTTTTTATTTAAATAAATCAGTATGTTTGGTTTTTGATAATCTGACCCGAAAAATCGGTTTCCAATAAATTGAGACTTGTTTGATGGATGGTTCAGTTTGGGGTGGTGTGATTAAAAAAACCGAATTTTTGGTTCGGTCCCAATATTCACTGGATCGGTTCAGTAACCGAACCGAATCCAGACCTAATTTTAACCCCCACTATCCATGCACTTCACTTTTTATTTTGTGGACTAGAAAGCCATTTAATTACTCCCTCCGTCCCAAAAACAACTTCCCATTTTCCTTAAATGAATGTCCAAAAATTATCTTCACACTTCTTCCCACTTCCTTATTTGGCAAATTATCTACATCAAAACAGTGTCAAACAGTGCTAAACAGTATCCAAACAGTGTCAAAACAGGTAAATTTACCCGCCCGTAAGTTTATTTCCTTAATATGTATGGAAAACGAAGTGTGAAGTTGTTTTTGGGACGAAGGGAGTATTTGATATTTGGCACTTTATAATAGGGGTGGGCGCGGTCCGGGATGGTTCGGGATTTGGCTTATCCCGATCCTGATCCGGTTTTATAATAACGGTCCGGTACGGTTCGGGATAAGTATCCCAATGTTGTCTCATTTAAAACGGGAACGGTACAACTCGAGAAAAACCGGGACGGTTCGGGAGACATCCCATAAAATATACATTTGTGAAATGTGATATAAAAATAAACATAACATCAAAATAAAGACGTAACTATTTTTTGCTAATTCAGCTTCTCTAAAAAGTTA